CACCCCCACCCACCCACCCACCACCCACCCACCCACCCACCCACCCGCCCCACCCACCCCCACCCACCCTCACCCACCCCTACCCACCCCACCCACCCCCACCCCCCCACCCACCCCCACCTCCCACCCACCCCACCCACCAACCCACACACACACATACACACACGCGCATGCACGCCCGCACGCCCGCGCACCCGCGCGCACGCACACACACACACAACACAAACACACATGCACGCACGCGCGCGCGCGCACGCACGCACGCACGCACGCGCGCGCGCGCAAGCACGCTTGCACGCACGCACGCGCGCGCACGCACGCACGCACGCACGCACACACACGCACACACACAGACACACACAGACGCACACACCCACACACACACACCCACAAACCCACACACACGCACGCACGCACGCACGCACGCACACAGACACACACACACACGCACACGCACACACACAACGCACGCACGCACCACACACACATCACACCACACACATCACACCACACACATCACCTCACACACACACACCACATCACACATCACACATCATACATCACACATCACACATCAGACATCACACATCACACATCACACATCACGCATCTCGCATCACGCATCACGCATCATACATCACGCATCACGCATCACGCATCACGCATCCCGCATCACGCATCACGCATCACGCATCACGCATCACGCATCACGCATCACGCACACGCACACGCACACACACACACACGCACACGCACACGCACAAGCACACCGCACAACGCACAACGCACAACGCACAACGCACAACGCACAACGCACACGCACACGCACACGCACACGCACACGCACCACACACCAACACACACACAAGCACTCACATACAAACACACATACACACATACACAGGCACAGACACAGCCACAGACACATACACCGACACAGACATACAACACACACACAACACACAGCACACAACACACACAACACTCACACAACACACAGCACACAACACACACACAACGCACACAACACACAGCACACTCAACACACACAACACACCACACACACACACCACACACAACACACAACACACACACCACACACACACGCACGCACGCACGCACGCACACACACACACGCACGCACGCACACACACACACACGCACACGCACACGCACACGCACACGCACACGAACACGCACACGCACACGCACAAGCACAAGCACACGCACACGGACACGCACACGCACACACACACACGCGCACACACACATACGCGTACACATACACATACACACATACACATACACATACACCTACACCTACACATACACATACACATACACATAGCACACACACAGCACACACAGCACACACAGCACACACAGCACACTCACAGCACACAGCACACGCAGCACACACACAACACACAACACACACCACACACCACACACAACACACACAACACACACACAACACACAACACACACAACACAAACCACACAAACCACACACACACAACACTTACAACACACACAACACACACCACACAACACACAACACACGCAACACACAAGACAACACAACACACACACACCACACACACACACGCACGCACGCACGCACACACATGGAACATACGAGATGATTGCATAGTGGGGCACTCTTGGAGTTCCTCTTCGAGCGCTCTTGGGGCTTCTCTGGGGCCTCTTGGGCCTTCTGGGGGCCATCTTGGGCGTCTTGGAGCGGTGTTGTGTGATGATGATGATGGTGATGGTGATGGTGATTGTGATGGTGACGGTGGTAGCGATGGTGATGGTGATGTTGATGGATAGTGGATGGTGTTACTGATGTTGTTGCTGGTGAGATTCTGCTGTTGTTCCTGGTGATGATGATGCTGATGATGACGCTGATACTGGTGAAGCTGCTGATGATGATGATGCTGTTGATGGTGATGATGATGCTGATTCTGATGCTGGTGCTGATGGTGATTGTGATGGTGATGTTGTCGTGATTGTTGATGCTGGTGATGCTGTGGTTTTTGTTGTTGATGATGCTGACGAGGAGGAGGAGGAGGAAGAGAGGTAGGAGGAGTTGGAGCAGGAGCAGGAGGATTTACAGCAAGAGCAGGAGGGGGCGGCGGGGAATAGGCGGAATAACGCTGTGGTGATGCAGATGGGGATGCTGAGTACGCGGGGTGATGAGGCAGGGTTACGAGGCAGGCGGATGAATGGGTCTGGCCCCCAGGTGGCGATCCTGGGCGCAGAACCGCGTCAGGTCGTTCCAGCTGCCGCTTCCGGTGACATGCCAGTGGGGGCAGAGGAATGCATCAATTTTTTCGCCCTCGCTGTCATTGCCATTTGCGGGTATGTGGTGTTCTTCGGTCTCATGACCGAACTCTTCCGCAGACGCGGGAATCAGCGAGGGGCTATTTTGGGCTTGAGCGCCGACAGCCCAGGGAGAAGTCCGCCCATGTCGCTGTTCTTGTGCAGAGGCAAGACTGACGCAAGAAGAACGTGGTCGCGGCCACATGTTCTCCCAAACAGTACTTGCACTCAGGTGTTCTGATCGAAGACGCCTACGGCGAACCACCTCCGCCCCCTGCCTTTTGGAAACGCTCATGCGGCCAAACCTTGGCAAGTCTGGCCAAGCTATTGGACCGTGTGTTCCCCTAGCCGTTGTGGACCCCCTTGCGGGAACATTCAGGAGATAGACGCGAAAGGAGGAGGAGGAGGAGGAGGGAGGAGGAGGAAGAGGAGGGAGGAAGAGGAGGAGTACGAGGAGGAGGGACAAGAACTGGAGGCCTGTTCAGGCCGTCTTTGAGGATGCCTCGAGCGAGGCGCTGGTTGCAGCATTCTCAAGGTCGAACTGCCAGGTTCTCTTGCTTGGGTGCGCAACATCCTTTGCTTTCGGAGCAGATTGTGATGATGTCTTGAGCGAGGCATTGGTTTCAGCACTCCCAAGGCGGGGCCGCCAGGGTGTTCTCACGGGCATGTTCGCGCTAAGATTGTTGAGATGTCTCGAGCGGTTCGCTTCTTTGGGTGCCTAACATCCTTCGTTTTCAGAGCAGATCGTGAGGATGTCTCAAGCGAGGCGCTGGTTTCAGCACGCGCGAGGGGGAGCCGCCAGGGTGTTCTCACGGGCCCGTTCAAGCCTAGATTGTGGGGATGTTTGAGGCGGTTTGCTTGTTTGGGTGCCCAGAGTCGTTTGCTTTCCGAAGCAGATTGTGAGGATGCCCCAGGTCATTTGTGGATTTCAGCCCCCCCACGGGCCCAGATTGGGGGGATGTCGCAGGCGGTTTGCATGTTTGGTGGCTTGGGCTCCTCGGCTCTCAGAGGAGCTTGCAGGGCTGCCTCCAGCGAGGCGCCGGCTTCCGCACGTCGAGGAGCCCCAATTTGCGGGGAGGCCTCGTGCGGTTTGCCTGCTTGGTGAAAACGCTGAAACCGTCCAGGCGCAAAAAACACCCAAACCGCCCAGGCCTACGTCGAATCGGAGGAGGAGGAGGAGAAGGAGGAGGAGGAGGATGAGGAGGAGGAGCTGCCCCCAGCGCAGACTGTGAGGATGTCTTCCGCGGGGCACCAGTGTTGCCAGGACCCGAAGGGGGAGATCCGGCGGCGGCCCGCTCGCGGCCAGCCTGCGGTGACGTCTCGAGGAGGAGGAGGAGGAGGAGGAGGAAGAGGAGGAGGAGGAGGAGGAGGAGAAGGAGGGAGGAGGGAGGAGGAGGAGGAGGGAGGAGGGAGGAGGAGGAGGAGGAGGAGGAGGAGGAGGAGGAGGAGGAGGAGGAGCGGTTTGCCCGTGGCCTGGACTGCTGTCAGGAGGGGAAGAAACAGACACAGACACAATGCATCGTCGATACCCCAGGAAGTATGGGAAAGCATGGGAAGTGGGGGGGAAGGCGAAAAAGCCCAGGAAATAGGGGAGAGTATGGGGAGTCCTGCGATATATATGTGTCTATTCACTTGTGTGTACCGGGGCCCCTTTCTTCTGGGCTTTCCGAGCAGACCGTGAGGATGCCTGGCCCGAGGCGCCAGGTGTGGCACCCCGAGGGGGGGAGCCGCCAGAGAGGGTTGCCCTCGCCTGGTTCGTGGCCAGGTGGTAGGGCTGCCTCGAGCGCGGCGCCGCTGCTGCACTTCCGAGTCTGCCCACTCAGGGCTCTATGATCGCCTCGAACGTATGGAGAAACGCGTCCGCCAGGGAGGAGGGGGGAGGAGGGAGGGAGACGGAGGAAGACGCAAGAGGAGGGCGAGGGAGGCAGGAGGAAGAGACGGGAGGGGCTGAGGCGAGGAGAGGACGAACCGGGGAGAAGGCCGCCAGGGATGAGGACACTTGCCAGGGAGGAGAAATGAGGAGTGAGGGTTGAGGATGATGGAGGCGAGGAAGAGGAAGGAAGCTGACGCAGGAAGACAGAGTAGGACGGCCGCCATGAAAGAGCATGAGGAGGGAGATCGGAGGAGGGGGAAGGACGCAGGAGGAGCGAAATGGGAGGAAGGAGGCAGATAGGGATTGGCTTCGACAAGGAGGAAGAGCAAGGAGAGGGGAGGGGGCCTGCTCACCACGCGTCTGTCTGTGAGTTGTCGTCGTCGTTGCCCCTCATCGTAACCAACGTCGTCGTCGTCGTCGTCGTAGCCGTCGTCCACGTGGATTCGCGCTCACACCCAGACACGCAGCCAGACGCTCGCAACAGGACGTGCCAGAACTTGAGATGCGCATATGGGGATCTCCGCGCTGGGTGGTTCTTACATCTTGGTGATAGCTGGCGCGACCCAGGGGGGGGAGGCGGGGAGGGATTTACTCACGTCATGATTCGCGCTGGCGCCGTCTTGGAATGCGCAAGAATGCCCAGGAATGGCAAGTTCCCAGCACGCGCCTCCGCGAATCGTCACGTGACCAGGGGGGGGTGGGACCGTGCCCGGTCACGGGCTTCATCGGGAATCATTGCACAGTTGGCCCCTCCGACTGGAGTGACGGTGCCCAGGTGACTCTGACGTCGGACACCGGCCTCATGGACGCGCAGTACATCACCGCCTGCGTGCAGAAGGCCGCTGCGCTGCGCAAGCACGACGTGCAGCTCTGGAAGCGCTACTCGGCCAACCGCGCGCGCGAACCGCAAACCGGAGGAGAAGGGTGAGGAGGGATCGGAGGAGTAGAACATGGAGGGGTAGGAGGAGGAAGAGGAGGTGGAGGAGGATGAGGAAGAACAATAATAATCAGAAACATAATACGAAATTTAATAATTAGAGTAATAAGGGATAAAGAAAACATAACAAACAAGAAACATTATCTCAGCAAAGCAACCTAACAGCCATGTGTATGAGCATATATGGAAACAATCTTCTTTAGATTCATGTTCGGATTTGACTGGAAGCGAAACGCTGCGATCAATAGTACAGGAACAGGCAGACGAAAGCCCTTCTAGGCTTTACCCAGCGTGTGGGCATGCCCTTTTTGGCTGTTGCGGGGGCAAGCCCGCGCGGTCGCCCGCAGGCGACAGGGCGCCCTGGCCCTCTTCGTGAGCGCGCAGGCGCGTGGCGTACTTCACGCGCATGATTGCCCGCTGAGGCGCCCCGCGGCACGACAGCGACGGCAAAAACGACAAATTCGGTGACGCTGGAGCCCCTAATGCGACGAGGAATCCACATATGCATCTTCTGTGACACTGGAGCTCCGCAGGACAAGTCAGCTCAGCCTGCCTCAGCCTCAGCCTGCATCAGCCTCAGTCTCAGCCTCAGCCTGCGTCAGTCTCAGACTGCTGCACTCCCGCATACCCCTTCGGCCTCAGCCTGCCTCAGCCTCAGCCTGCATCAGCCTCAGCCTCAGCCTCAGCTTGCCTCAGCCTCAGCTTGCTGCGCTCCCGCGAACCCCTGCGGCCTCAGCCCGCATCAGCTTCAGCCTGCGTCAGCCTCGGCCTCAGCCGCAGCCTCAGCCTGCCTCGGCCTCAGCCGCACATCCGATGGCGCCGAGGTGGCTCCCGTGCGTACGTGCACCCACGGAACGCTTCTCCGATGGCGCCGACGCGGCTCCCGTGCGTACCTGCGCGCGCGGAGCGCTTCTCCGATGGCGCCGAGGTGGTTCCCGTGCGTACCTGCGCGCGCGGAACGCGCCTCCGATGGCGCCGAGGTGGCCCCCGTGCGTACCTGCGCGCGCGGAAGGAACGCACATCCGATGGCGCCGAGGTGGTTCCCGCGCGTGCCTGCGCGCACGGAACGCACCTCCGATGGCGCCGAGGTGGCTCCCGTGCGTACCTGCGCGCACGGAGTGAGCTCCGCCGGATTGTCCCAGTTTCTGCCGGCTTCCGCCCGGACCCCCCTGGAGTGTCATGATGCTCTCTTTTGACCCTACTAGAAACCTATCAGCACAATCTGTTAGGTAATAAGCGGAGAAGGGGGGAAGTGGATGACTGGGAGGAGGAGGAGGAACATCTCTAGAAACAGCGGTTGGGAAGAGGAGGGTAGAAACCAGCGGCTCCTGCTGAATCTTTCTAACATGCCGTGGCCCCGCCTGCTCTTTCCCCCGTCCCCTGTTCCTCCTCCTCCTGCTCCTCCTGCTTCACCTGCTCCTCCTCCCCCTCCACCCGCTCCTCATTCCCTCTCCTTCCTGCCGCCTTCCGCTCCTCCTCTCCTCCCCTTTTTCCCTCCCCCTCCCCCGTCGTCGTCGTCGTCGTCGTCGTCGTCGTCGTCGTCGTCGTTGTCATCGTCGTCGTCGTCGTCGCCGTCGTCGTCGCCATTTTGGCTCAAGGCACCTGTCTTGAGCGGCCGCTGTGAGGCGATTGCATTCACCTGCACTCGTGTACCCCCCTTTCTCCCCTTACTGTACACACCTAGCGCCGATGCGACGTCGTGTAATCAAAGACTTCTATCTCGAGCTGGCGTCCTTGAGAAACGAGTTGAACGTTGTAAAACAACACATCCGAGTCTCACACCAGCCTCGTCTTGGACTGGATACTTGAGAGTCCAAAGCGCCACTGCACGAATCCAACTGCACCTGTCTTCGTTCCCACCTTGGCCGAGGAGCCGTTGGGGCCCATAACTCGTTTGAATGCGGGAGGACCCACCATGGCGTTGGTCAATCCCGAGAGCTGCGACGATCTGCATAGCGCTTTCGAGCAATATTACAAGGGCAATTTCGAACAAGTTGAGATCTTCTCACTCTCTGCGTTGAAGGGGCGCTCCTGGGAAAAGTTACCGGAGGATCATGCATTTGATCACGCTATCCTGTCATATTGTAAGCGGGGCTTCGTGGATATTTCGCGATGTATGGGCAGCTATCCTTTTGTGAAAGATAGTTTTTGCAAGATTCTGCATCTGTTCATTCTTGCAGAGAAGCAACAGGTCTAACAGCTGGAGCCGCATTTCGCAGAACACCAGCGACAGGTGGAAGATGCTTTCCTCTGGAGCATGTGACGTTCGGGATCGAGCCAGCGAGTGCTGGCAACGCCAAGATGGAAGGACGATTTCTGGGGCCTTATTGAGGGATGCTGAATCACCTATTGCAACACAGTTCGCTCTGAAAGAGCAGCGAAACGCTGAAATGAATAGGAAACTTGTTCAGCCGCAGTAGCGGCTGAAACTGCTCCAAAGACTGACCCCTACAGGGGTCCAGCGGCTCGACGACGAGATAACGAGATAGAATGCGTGCAAGGACAATGGGGGAAATTGGGTCTGTGAGACTATGATGGTTCAGAATTCACTTTGGCACCTGGAGATTCATGGACTGGCTTGTCTCTGCTTAGCCTTGCATCGGAATGCTGGCAAGGTTAGGGCGCTCTGCTAGTTTGGTGGGCGGGAAGCCCGGTCAGATGTTGCTCATGCGCGGCAAGTTCGATAGGGTACTGCGTGCACGGAATGTCAACGTTTTGATACATGATCCCGTATTGTCTGGAGCCGCCTGCCTCCCCTTGCCCGTGGTCTCGACCCTTGAGCTCCCAGCTCGTCTTCGCTCTTTCGCTCTTCTGGCTCCCAGCTTGCAGGCACGTGCACGTTCTCTCAGGTCAGGAGGTCCGTGTGTATCCCAGATCCCACTATCAACGAGGACGGTCACGACCCGAGCGTCGCCTCTGAAGTCCGTGTCAATTCAAGTCGAATCGTCGCCGTCGTCGGCATCGTCGCGTCCACGTCGTCGTAATCGTCGTCGACATCGCCATCGCCATCGTCACCGTCATCGTCATCGTCATCGTCATCGTCATCGTCGTCGTCCTCCTGCTACTTTTGTTGCATTTTTTCCTCTTCCTCCTACTCTTCCTCCTGCTCCTGCTCCTGGGCGAGAAGGGAGAGGCCCCGGGAATCTGCTCTCCCCCTTTAATCATCCGTCCGTCCTCCCTCCTTCTCTTCCTCCTCCTCCTGGGCAGGCCAGGATTCTGGAGCTCAAGGAAGACCTGCTGCCGGAACAGCTGGGCTACATCCTGTGGGGTTACGGCAAGAGCTCGTTCGTGGACGCCCACTTCTTTAGTGGGCGGCTGATGGAGTAGGAGAAGTGAGGAGGAGGAGGAGGAGGAGGAAGAGGAGGGGGGGGAGGGAGAGGGAGAAGGAGGATGATGGAGAAACAGGATGGAAGATGGAGGATGGAGGGGGGAGAATGGAGGAGGGATGATGATGATGCTGATGCTGATGCTGATGCTGATGCTGCTGCTGATGATTATGCTGCTGATGATGATGATGATGCTGATGATGCTTATGATGATTATGATGCTGATGATGATGCGGCTGATGATGCTGATGATGATGATGATGCTGATGCTGATGACGATGATGATGCTGGTGCTGGTGATGAACATGTCAATGTGGATTCTGATGATACTGATGATGGTTATGATGCCGATAATGATGGCGATGGTGATGATTATGATGACGATGGTGATGCTGAGGGGGGTGAGGAGAGGGAGGAGGAGGAGGAGCAGGAGGTGGCAATGTCGAGCAGGAGAAGGCAAAGAGCTGGGAGGATGGAAGGAGAGTGATCGTCTAGGGATCTTTCTCGGACGCCAAGTGACGATACGCAGCGGGCACCTCCTGATACATGCAACCGCTACGGTTACTTTCTGGCGACAGAAGGGTAATGTTGCTGCCCCGCAGAGGCGTTGGCTTCCCACGGCTCCGCTGGCTCGCGGGGCGGCAAGTGTTCTGATCGCACGTACGGGGGGAGGATGGAAAGGACGAGGAAGAGGAGGAGGAGGAGTAGGAAGCGGACCAGGAGGAGGAAGAGGAGGAGGAGGAGGAGCTGGAGGAAGAGGAGGAGGTGGAGGAGGAGGAAGGCCTTTGACCTTGCTCTGGCAGATCCCTGATAGACAGGGACCCAAAGGCAAGTCCTGGCTGGCTTTCCCGAGGACATTCATCCCGCTCCTCGGCCGCCGCCCTGGAGAGAGAGAGAGAGAGAGAGAAACGCGACAGCACGCTCAGCCCCGCCTTGGTCAGGGGCTGAGGCGGGGTCAGGGTGGAGGGACAGACCTCTGCGAGCAGCTGGGCGGTTCTACAGAGTACCGCCCGCACGATCTGCATCATAGGACACCCTCGGTACAGTCGAGGGTGTGGATGGGAGTGGGCCGCTCCGGGGCCCGCTCTCAGCGGCGGTGTCCCGCAGCACTCCCCTGCGCCGACTGCAGCAAGTTTGCCCCTTGAAAGCCTGGAACTTGCGCCCGCACGGCCGACAACCCACCAAGAGACCCATGCCAAGGAACACCCTGCTTGCCTCCAGGGTGCCCTGGGTGTTTTTTAGGTCTCGGCGGTTTCGCTGTGGGAAGCGTGCCGCTCCCACACTAGAAGAACTCAACGGACGTCCTGGGGTCTCAGGATTGGGTCTCTCGTGGAAGGCTTCTTGTGGACTTGGCCCCCGCTGTATGGTCCTCAGGCCCTCCAGCCTGCTGCTTGGTGCCCACAAGCGCTCCTCGAGAGCCATACAAAGGAGCCCCACCGAAAGCCCAGTGCCACCGTCCACATGCGCCCCCCGCATCAACTTCGGCACGCCCCTCACACGTTTCGTGGCCCAATCGGGAGCTCAACCGAAGGGTTTCCAGTGCCTCCGTCCGCATGCGTCCCTCGCACCGGTTTCGGCACAACCCCCACACACGTTTCGTGACCCCATAGCGAGCTCCGTCTCAGGGTTGGGTCTCTCGTGGAAGGCTTCTTGTGGTCTTGGCCCCCGCTGCATTCACGACCCCCGGGCGCGCGGGCCGCAGCAGGCAGCCGCTGCCTTCGCAGGGCCCCTGCGGCGGGGAGCGCGCCTCCCCGGGGCGGGGAGGCCGCCTGCCGGCACGGCCGGCCTCTAGGAGGAGGAGGAGGAGGAGGAGGAGGAGGAGGAGGAGGAGGAGGAGGAGGAAAAAGGAGGAGGAGGAGGAGGGCGGAGGAGAAGGAAAAAAAGGGGGAGGGCGGAGGAGGGCGGAGGAGGGAGGAGGAGGAGGTCGGAGGAAAAGCAAGAAGGAGGAGGGCGGAGGAGGGCGGAGGAGGGCGGAAGTGGAGGAGGAGGAGGAGGGCGGAGGAAGAGCAGGAGGAGGAGGAGGAGGAGGAGGAGGAGGAGGAGGAGGAAGAAGGAGGAGGGAGGGGGAGGAGCAGGAGCAGGAGCAGGAGGAGGAGGAGGAGGACGAGGAGGAGGAGGAAGGAAGGAAGGAAGGAAAAAGGAGGAGGAGGAGGAGGAGCGGAGGAGGAGGAGGAGGAGGAGGAGGAGGAGGAGGGGAGGAGGAGGAGGAGGAAGGAGGAGGCGGAGGCGGAGGCGGAGGCGGAGGCGGAGGAGGAGGTGCCCTGGAGGGGTCGGGGGAGCGATTTTGGAGCAGTTTATGTTGTGAGAGGGAGATGGTGGATGAGGAAAAAGGAGGATGGGGGAAGAGGAGGAGGAGGAGCAGGAGGAGGAGGAGGAGGAGGAGGAGGAGGAGCAGCAGCAGGAGGAGGAGGAGGAAGGGGAGAGCCAGGAGGGAAGGTGCAGTGAGAGGTGTTTTCGTCTCTGCGCCGAGGCCCCTGTCCTGCGTCTCCGGTGCTGCCGGTGCGTGCTCCGCGCGCGGGGGGGCAGCACCGACCCAAAAGGCAGCCGCGCGGAGCTCCGGGGGCCGGTGCCGATCCTGCGTTTGTGCGTGCGTTTGCGTGCGTTTGCGTGCGTGCGTGTGTGTGTGTGTGTGTTGTGTGTGTGTGTGTGTGTGTTCGTGGACGGTTTGCTGCTGTTGTTGTCATTGTTGCTGTTCATGTTCTTGTTGTACTGTTGATGATGCTGTTGTCGTTGTTGCCACGGTTGTGGGGGTGGGTGTGGTTGCGGTCGTTGTTGCTGCTGCTGTTGTTGATGCTGTTGTTGAACTCCCACGACTGAAGAATAATTATTGTTGATCCCCCCTCTGGTTACCATTGTATTGTTTTGATTTGTATTGTTTTGATTAAAAGTGCTTCCCCTGGGGCTCGCACCCTGCCTTTATAAGGGAAAGTCACGGGGTTCAAACTGTGTTGTTGGCCCCCGGTTTACAACAGCAAGTGTTCCCGCATGATACTGCTTCACAATGTAGTCCCAAATCGCGCTCTCTTGCGGGACTTCCTCATACTTTGTATACGAATCGCGCCCTCGCGTGGGAACTCCTCGCAGTTTGTTCAGACAATGCGCCCTCGGCGCTCAGGAATCTCGCTCTCGCTTTGGCTTTTCTCACAATTTACCTGGAAATCGCGCTATGGCTCGAGACTTCTTGCGATTCATACAGGACCCACGCTTCAGCAACCCGCCTGCCCGACCTGGTCCCCTGGGCCCGCCTTCTCGACCTGCCCGCTACGGGTCTTCCCACCCGATCTGCCCGTCTGGTTCTACCACTTGTTTTCTGCTTCTTGCCCGCCTCCTGCTAATTTCTCTCGTGCTCCATTCTTCTCCCTCCCCCTTCACCCGTCTTCTCTTCCTTTGTTTTGGGGGCTGCACTACTGCACGCGGCAGGTAAGGAAGATATACACCCAAGGGGGTACGATCGAAGACGACGAGGCCAGGTACCGAGGGTTCGGGATAGACGTACTGATTTAGTACGTGAGCAGGTTGGAGCGAACAGCCTGAAGTGATTGTCGTTGTTGGTGTTGTTGTTATTGTTGTTGGTGTTGTTGTGGTTGTAATTGTTGTTGTTGCTGTTGTTGTTGTTGTTGTTGTTGCTGTTGTTGTTGTTGCTGTTGTTATTGTGAGTGTTGTTGGTGTTGGTGTTGTCGGTGTTGTTGTTGTTGCGTTGTTATTGTCGTTGTTGGTGCTGCGGGTGTTGTTGTTGTTGGTGTTGCTGTTGCTGATGCTGTTGTTATTGTTGCTGATGTTGTCGTTGTTGGTATGGCTGTTGTTGTTGGTGTGGTTGTTGTTGGTGGTGTTGTTGTTGCTGTTGGTGTTGCTGTTGCTGTTGTTGTTGCTGCTGCTGTTGTTGTTAGTGTGTATATTTGTGTGTAGAGGTGCAGACGGAAGATGTTTCCAGCCAGGTGAGATCACGCCGACGGTCCAGGAGCGCCTGCCCCAGTTCCAGTCGCACGCGCTCATGTCCCTCATGTGGTGCATGAAGAAGGCGAGGAGCCCCGCTCGGAATCAGCTGTCGCGATGCCGCAGGCGCAAGGCTCGTTTCGATTCCTCCCGATTCGACTTCGACTTCGATGGCTTCCGATTACGATTCGATTCGACGGCGGATTCCGATGTGGGCTCGGATTTCCCAATGGAGGCCCATCAGCTTGCCGATGTCTACCGATTCGACTCTTCCCTACTCGGCTGCCGACTTCCGCCGATCCGAGTCATGTCGATCACCAGTTCGACTCATCGATTCGATCCTGGGTCCTCCTGCCACCTGTTCTTCTTGGACGCCCGAAATGGGTACGGGAAGAATGGGTACAGTGCTCAACAACACATGTTTTGTTGTCCCAAACCAACAGCGGCCGCTGTTGGGCAGGCGGCCCTCTGCCTCAAATGGAAGGGCCTGCGGCGACACCGCCAGCGAGCCCTGTTCAGAATGAACAGGAACTGCTGTTGGGCATTGTACCCACTCTTTCCGTGCCCATTTCGGACGTCTAAATTCTGGGTCCTGGGTCGACTCGATTCGATTCCGGTTCGACTCATCGATTCGATTTTGGGTCCTCCTGCCATTCGCTTTTGGGCGTGTCTCCAAGCCGGCCGTCGGACGTCCACCCCGAAAGTTACAGGGGCACCGCCGCCCGTTCTCTTGGCCGTCGCCACCATCATCGTGACGAGGGGTTCCTGCGGCCACTGGTTTGAACAGTGGGCCTGCTCCATTGGCCCCGCACAGGATTCATCTGCACTTGTCGAGGGGGACTGCAGGACTTCTCTGCGTTCGGGTGATGAGTGAAGGAATTTTCTGCGTTCGATTTCTTCCCCCGCCTGTATACTCGGCGACAGGGTACCCGCCCTCCTGGGCGGCCCGCTCTTCCGCGACCCCTTCCCTCCCCCGCACCTTCCCCCGCTGGGGTCTGGGGCCGCCTCGGAGAGTTCGGGGGATTTTGTTGAGCTCAGACGGGAGCTCGAAGTAGGTATTTCAAGTCCCTCGTCCTGCTCCTCCTCTTCCTCCTCCTCCTCCTCCTTGTCCTCCTCCTCCTCCTCCTCCTCTTCCTCCAGCCGCCAGGCTGGCACGAGGGAACGACGGGCGGCAGGTTGAGGCGGGAAAGAGGACTCCCGTTGGGCACCGAGCGGGCGACAGCGCGCGCGATGGTGCGGCCCGTGGGCCAATGGTCTCTGCGTGTGCTTGGGTTCAATTCGATGTTTGCCACGGGTTACAGAACTCAGGAGATAGTACAGAGCTGCACGGACAAGGACTTGGTGATGTCAGCAGGAACCCAGAGGAGGTCATCGCAGAGTGGAGAAGGTATGACAGGCCGTGTACAACAGCGGCTAATGTTGGAAGCAGAAGCGACGACGTCACAGTTCTCCAACAAATCGACGGGTTGCGCGATCACTCCCGGGAAAGAGTTCAGCGAGAGGCATGTGAGGCAAGCTTGGGCGAGCCCACCAGAGGCAGGAGGTCGTGCAGTGGCGGCTCGCATTCGGATGGGGGCCTTTGGACCTAGCAGTAGTAGCGATGTACTTGCCACCTCAACCGAAATATTCAGCAGAGCAGCCGCAATACACGGCCACGTTGAAACTGATTGGGTCATTGTATGCGAATAGACTTCAGAGTACCGTGCAGGTGCATCCCTTTGGTATACGCAGACCTCAACGACGGACAGGGTATCACGCGTATCGCAGGGAAGTGGGCACGTATTGAATCTACGGCGGTGGGAACGGGGTGGTGCAGAGAACAGCGACGAGGTGGGGCAGGGGAAGTCTTTCAACACATCAACCAAAAACAGCATATGCTCGCGCTGAACACGATGAAGGCCGGTTTGGGGCACACACATGTTATTGTAGCAAGGGCGTGAGTAGTTGTTTTGATTATGTTTTCTCCCCATCGGAATGATTGACATGGTTTCGAGATGTTCACCGTTGTTCAGATTGGGTGCACAATTACAGGCGTACCGAGGGCCACCACCACGGGACCGCGTTCTTTGCACGTCGAGCTGCAGGGTATGCAACCACTGGGACAGGTTGTACTTCAGCCACCAAGTGTCCAACGACCCGTTGCACCGACAGGAGTCCTTGGAGAGGGCCGAATTTCTTCGGGAACGAGCTCGCCTTCGACGATCGCGGGTGGGCATGCGGGAAGACAGCGAGGAGTCGGTAGACTGCGAGTCAAGATTGACGCAGCTGAGTCAGAAGCTACGCCGTTGACGGCAGTTTCTTGCTCGAGTTCGACAGCGGGCAGCCCACTGCAGATACGGTCCGAAGCGGAGAGATGGCAGGCTGCTGCGTGGAGGTCACTTTACGGCAGAGGCCTTGATCAACCATTGGTCGCAGGTTGATTGCGAAGGTGGAATGTCAGCATCCCTGATTCCGAACTACTAGGAGTGGCTGGAGTCCTTCCCAGCGGGCCCCGCTCCGCACGTATCGATGGACGATTGTGCGCTGGCAGAGGAAGACACGCAAAGGGTGATGATGTATTTTCACGCGGCCACAATGCGTCGAGCAGTGCCGGATGGCACGGCGCCGGCTGCGCTATGGCTTCTCTGTCTGCGGCCCATGGCAAGCGTCGACGCGGTGAGGCAGGGGTTGGGCTTCCAGCAGGGGTTTTCAGAGATGCACTTCTATGGGGGAATCTTGGAAGGGGGTCTTCGCCTGATCAGGGCTGCGAATAGGGCGCCGATGAGATGGCGCTGTAGTTCGGGGGCGCAACTGAGAAAACTAAGTCGCGAAGCCAGGGCCCGTGGGAAGGAGAGCGTTTCATTTGTCGCCCACGTTCGGGACAGCTTTCTTTTCTGGTCTCTTGTATGTGCCCCCGCTGGTGATAGACCAGGGGTGTTGCCGTGGTCGTAGACGCGAGCGTGCGATCCTAGCAGTGCAGCTTCTTTCCTGGCGACTCCGTCGAGCGGGTCGCAGCTTTGCTTGCGCGTATGAAGATAGGACGAATGCGTTTACTTGCGGGTTTTGGGAGGCGTTGACTAACGTGGTACACCTACGCGCAGCTCCCGAAAATATCGATTGGTGCACTCATCGTTTTAAGAGTTGCGTGGTTCGACTGGGGGCGTTGGGCGAGGGGTCGACTTGGAGTCGGGCGATGCAGGCGCGATGGGGGGCCCGTGTGTAGTTGCGCTCTTCAGAGGCACGCTTTCGAGACCGATCATGAAGTGGCTCTGGCGTCTTCGTGCGATCGACCCTCATGCGCAGGAGTTGAGCGCGCTTTGGAGGGGTTCCCGCGTGGACGTCGGCGCGAGCATGTACGCCGACGACCTCTTCAGAGCCAGCGTAGCAGCGCAGTCTTCTAATGTGGGGGGGTCTCTCTCGGTTCTGAAGGAGGCAGATGAAGCGCTTTCGGAGGAGTTGTAGGAGTTCGGGCACGCCCAGAATGTTCCGAAACAGGAACTTCAGTCGTGCTTCCAGGGGCCAGGGGCTATCAAATGCGCGCAATGGGTGATGGGCGCGGGCAGTTCGAGGATCTCCAGAGAACGCGTGGATGACATTCGTTATCTGGGACCTAGAATTGGTCGGCAACAGTCGGCGCTTGCAGGAGTTCGTCGTCGGATTCAGGCCACGGCCGGGGCTTGCTATTTTTTCGGCCAGGTCTGGGAGTTCATCTGCGCCGTTCCGCTGGAAGCAGACGTCGTTGCTCAGTTTCGTCCAGGGCGCGGCGCTGCCAGGACTAGAACCAGCGCTGCTGACAGACAAGCGCCATCGGGAACAGGATGCTGCAGTAGCCAGATGGGTGGAGGGCGGCGCAGGGTAAGGCGGTGATCAGCAGGGAGGAGCGGGGGATGTGGACGCTCTCAAACAAACAGGTCATGCAGCATTGTCGTTTAGCAAGTTCGGCCCCAGAACTGCTCGTTCGCAGGTTGGGCTGGTCTCGCAGTTGGGCACTTCGCCCAGAGTCTCACTTGCAGAGTTTGTGCCTGCTGTGCGGCGCGATGTCGTTTGACCCAGGAGGTGCAGCGCTCTCCAGCAAGCGGGCGATGCAGTCTCATGCGCCCCCGTGGCTCCTACGGCTACAGGCAGACTTTCAACGGGCCGCGGAGCGAAATGGGCGAGGGGCGGATCCGCGCGCGCTTTGCACGTTTCCTTGGGAAGCTCATCAGTCAAGAAGCGGCGTCGGCTTTTGCTCGTCTTGACTTCGCTGGAATGAGGTCCAGGGAATTGGTTTTCGCGAGCCCCCCGGCGGGGGGCGGCGAGAACCCCGAGGCCGAGGGCCCCATGGCGGTGACCTTGAGCTCTCTTGGATACGCGACTGGAAGGTGGATGGGGTACTCATGTGGACGGGCGTGTCAAACTGGACGAGATCCGATGGGTCATTTGAGTTAAATACACCAGGTCCATCATCTGAGTTCGTTGATAACGCGCGCGTATGTAGTGTATATCGTCGAATATTTGGGTATCATGGCAGTGCTTGCAAACATCTACAACGGGCACTAGGGGCGGGGAGGTGTTCAGATAGAGGTGCGTCGACGTTTCGCCCGGTTCAAGTTCCACCGAGCTTTGGATGTAGAGTTTGCGAGTGCAATGCATGTGGGTTGGATGATCTCTGTAGTCGTTTGGCTGAGCGTCACCTTCCCAGGCCCGTCGGAGCGAACCTATAGACGCAGCGCAGCGCGGGCGGCGATGCCGGGGCAGGGGGCGTCGCTGGCAGTTCCAGAGTGGATGTTGGCCCCACCATCAAAAGGAAGTGCCGCCCAGCACCGCGTAGTCACGACGCGCAGAGGAGACGTCGGCAAGCTCGCGGGATCTACGATGGCTCAGCTCGTGGTCGTCCTCTCAATGTTGGTGATTGCGGACTGTCGGCAGCTGGCGGCGTTGACGGCCACCGTGCGTCGAACGTGCGATCTCGACGCAGGCGCGGGGTTGGCGTCGGCAATGGAGGATTCAGTACAGCAGAACAACGACGTATCACAATGCTTAAAAGAAAGGCCAATAACGACGAGCAGGCCAACTGGGCTTCAAGAGGGCCACCCATTCGTACAGCTATTCTTGGCGTCGATGTTA